GACTGACTTGAAAGGGTATGAGACATATTTCTGGGAAGATGGCCAGCTCTGTATCTTGGTAAGAAATCTTGGAGAGACTGAAGATACTTGGTCTTTTCTTTCTCTGCATTTCTCTCCTCTGCTTTATGCTGCGCCTCAACTCAGCTCTCTGTTCTGTTGTGGCCTGGTTACTATCTGCGGCAGTGAACTGGAGCTCACCAAGTTGGTTCCCATATTTCAGGGATAACTGTTCTTTGGTGTTTGATATCCATTGTCTTGTGCTGTTTGTAGACATTTTTTCCTTTTTTTTCTAGCATGAGAGTAAATCCAGTTCCTGTGACTGCCTTCTTGGCCAGAAGTAGCTATCTTGGGTTGGTCAGTGTACTTTTAAATATGTTGCCTCCTGTCTTATACTCTAAGGTCAGAGATTTTGGGGGTGTTTTTTTCTGTATGTCCAGGATCTATAATCAGGAATACTTGACACATCACAGGCACTAAGTGAATGTTGGGCGTGGACGTACCTTTTCCTTTCCTTTCCTTTCCTTTCCTTTCCTTTCCTTTCCTTTCCTTTCCTTTCCTTTCCTTTCCTTCTCTCTCTCTCTCTCTCTCTCTCTCTTTCTCTCTCTCTCTCTTTTTAGAGAAAGATTTTTTGCTATAGGGCACATGTGCTCGCCAGGGAGAGGAAAAGGGAAAATCCACCCCCTACCACAGGGTGGGGGGTGGCCATGCTGTAATCCCTTCTCCTCCATTCTCCTCTTGGGATCTCAGGTGTATACATACACACATACACACATACACACACACACACACACACACACACACAAACACACACATGCACACGTGTGCCTGGTGTGAGTTTTAAGACACTGGGTCTGGGACTTGAACTGCGTTCGACTATGTAGGAGTCTAGCGACATAACCATTACTCCATCTGCTGGTTTCTCTTTTTCTTTTTTTAACAGAGATTTTTGTTATAGGGCATGTGCACTTGTTGGAGACATAGAGACAGAGAGAAAGTGAGATAGCACCCCCACACACATTGTGGTGTGGGTTTGGCCACACCAAAATCTCTTCTTTTCCATTCTCCTCTCAGGATTTTGGGCACACAGGTGCACACATGCACCCGGCGTGTTTCAAGTCACCAGGTCCGGGATTTAAACTACGGTCGGCCATGTGGGAGTCCAGCACTTTAACCACTATGCCACCTGCTGGCCCCATGTTTTCTTTCTTTCTGTTTTTCCCCTCCCTTTTTTCTTCCCTTTTCTCCTTTTACTGTTTCTCTGCAAATGTTGAATAGCAAAACCATTGCTTTATCTAAAAAAGCATTTTCTAAAGGGTCTTTTGCAATACCAGTCTCTCGATTCTTTATAAAGATGGGATTCTGTAATGAAATAAGGGTGGGAAACTTATCTGCTGAGAAATCTAATAAAGAAAAGTTTGTTCAAATCTGCATTTTCTAAACTTACTTATTTCTCTCTTTTATTGCCAGAAAGTGAATGTGTGCATCATGTAAGTGAGAGCTAGAGCCAGCAGCCCTTGATGGGGTATGGTCACACCACAATACTCCCTTCATTTTTCTGTTGTGTCAAGATTGGGGGGTTCACATGCACGTGAGCCCAGCATATTTTTAAATTGCCAAGACTGAGGTTTGAACTGTAGTCAGCCGTGTGGGATCCAGTTCCCTATGCACAGGGCTTAATTGCTGTGCTACAGAGCCAATAGTCTAAACTTCTGTTACTAGGGTTATTTTACCTGCAAAACACCTCTTAACTACTTAGGTGATTTTTATTTTCTGGAACACATTCTGAAGAAATGTATATAAACAAGTGTTGAATATCTTGTAATAAACTACATTTCCCCTTTTTACCTTCGTGTAGACATTTCTATGATATAGATAATAAAGATTTATATATTTTTTAAAAGTTTTATTGAGGTATTTGTGATCCTGTGGATTTTAGTATATTTATAGGTAAATACAATCATCTCCACAGTTTAAATATCTACATCACGTTAAAAAGAAACCCTGTATCTTTTAGATGTCACCCCCCCCCACCCGCCACACACACACACATTCTCTCTCTAATCCTAAGGAAGCTTGACCGTTCTATTGCTATAGATTTCCCTATTTTGGACATTTCATGCAAAAAGAATAATGTCATAGGTGGTCTTTCACTTAGCACAGTGTTTTCAAGGGCCACCCGTACTGTGGCATGCAGTTAGTACGACATGCTCCGTTTTGGCTGAATAATATTCCATTATAAGGATATACCACATTTAATGTATCTTCCACTGTTGATGGAGATTTGGGTTATTTCCACCTTGTCACTATTACCGATAGTACTGGTGTGTGCATTTGTGGACCCGTTTTTGTGTGGACATGTTTTCATTTCTCTTGGACATATATATACACTGCTAGGATTGGAATTTCTGCGACATATGGTAGCTCCATGTTTAATCATTTGCAGAATGGACAGAAATTTTGACAGCTTTTTCAGGTGGCTGCACTATTTTACATTCCCAATAGCAGTACATTCATTAGCAGTATATTCCCAGTAGGGTTCCAATTTCCTCACATTCTCACCAACACTTGTCATTATCTGACTTTTTGATTATGACCATTTTAGTGAGTTTGAAGTACTCTCTCATTATAGTTTTGATGTGCATTTCTCTGATAACTAATGATGTGGAGTATTTTTTCACGTGCTTATTGGCCATTTTTATTTTTCCCTGGAAAAGTGTAGATTCAGAGTCTCTTTTTTTCCCCTCATTTTAAAATTAGTTTATCTTTTTATTGGTTCATAAGAGTTCTCAGAATGCAAGTCCCTTATCAGATACACAATTAGCAAAAAATTTTTTTTCCCATTCTATGTGTTCTTTTCACTTTGTTGATAGTGAAGCACAGTCTCTAAAAATTTTTCATTTTTGTGAAGTCCAAATTACGTATTTTTATTGTTTATGCTTTTTTTGCCATATTATTATCATTTTTTTTTCTTTTTATGGATAGGTTTTTGCTATAGGGCGTGTGTGCTTGCCAGACAGACAGAGAGACAGAGAGACAGAAAGCGAGAAATCACCCCCCAGGGGGGATGGCCACGCCGCAATCCCTTCTCCTCCATTCTCCTCTCGGGATCTTCGGCACGCATGCACACGCGCCCAGTGTGACTTTAAGCCACCGGGTCCGGGACTCGAACCACGGTTGACTACGTGGGAGTCCAGCAACATAGCCATTACGCTAACTGCTGGCCCCACCATATTATTATCATTTTTAAGGTTTATTTATTCCAGGAGTCTGAAAGTGGGGTGCAGATGGCATCCCCAACAGGGTCCTCACACTGCAGTCCACCCTAGCCTGCGGCCAGCCTTGGATCATGGGCAAGTGTGTGCCTGGTGTCCTTGGACAGGTCTCTGGTGACCCGGGAATCTTCCTACATGCGACTGCCTTGCAGAACATTGTGTTTTACTGCTGTGCAGCTGTCCGGCCCCCTGTACATGTTAGTTTTGTTCCCTACTTTTAGTAGAGTCAAAACAACAGGATTCACTTGATTTTGGCATTCTTATAGAAAAATAATTGAAGTAGTTAAAAATAGTTGTCATTAATTTGAGGCCATAATACATCGATGGTCTTTTTATTAATATAAAATCAGATGGCATTTTAGCTGAAAATTCCAGTCATGGTATAATGAAAATAGAAAATGATGTTTTAATTGAATTAAATAGCATAATGAAAAATAAAGTCAATGTTATTGATTTTAAAGCATTTTATTCACTAAATTTTCTTTTCTCAAAATTTACTCCATTAATTCTTCTCTACCATTGACATTTCCCCTTGCTGTTAACCTTTAGGCAGTGCAAAATGAATGTTAGATAAGGAAATGAATGATTGACACCTGTAAGAGGAGTGACTTTTTTCTTTAGCTAAAGAGCTCGAGTGTGAGAGGTGATATATTATGAGATTATACATGTTCATTGGAAGAGTCATGAGATGGCTTTTTGCTTTCTGTAAAAAGATGAAGGAATTGTTTTAAATTTTTTTTTTTTTAAGAAAGATTTTTGTTATAGTGTGCATATGCTTGCTGGAGAGGCAGAGAGACAGAAAATGAGAAATTATCCCTCAGGTTGGATGGCCATGCTACAATCCCTTCTTCTCCATTCTCGTCTTGGGATCTTGAGCACATGGGTACGTGTGCCTGGCATGAGTTTTAAGTTGCTGGGTCCAGGACTCAAGCCGCGGTCGACTACATGGAAGTCCAGCAATGTAACCATTATGCCATCTGCTGGTCACTAAAATTACAGTTCTTTTACACTCTTGCTCAGGCTTCTGTGGGAGGCTAAAGAGAAGGCCTAACTTCCAGATTTGTATCACAATAATTGTTTTAATATGTTTTACAGATTGTTATGGAAACATAACTTGAAAATAGGTTTTCTCTATTTAAACAAAAATAAAAAACTGAAATATGTTGGTATATTTAAAACATGGGAGTTCATTTGCAAGCTTTTCAGAGTGTTGCTTTTTCTATCAAGATACCGTAGTAGAGCTTCCTGGGATGATGTGGTGTTTCCAGAATCTAATTTCATGCTTTTAATAAAGGACTTATGCTTGTGAACAAATTTATATAAATGTAAATTTTGTTGAGGCCAGTTTCATGACATTTTTTTCCTCCAGTTTCAGACTAGTTTCTGTGTCTTGTTTGTTTGTTTGTTTTTGTCATAGGGTGCTTATACTCCCCAGAGAGAGAGACAGAAGGAAAGTGAGAAATCACCGCCCTGCGGGTGGGGTGGGAGATTGCCCTGCTGCCCTGCTGCAGTCCCTTCTCTTACAGTCTCCTCTCAGGATTTTGGGCGTGCACATGTGCCCAGCATAATTTTTAAGCCACTGGATCTGGGACTCGGACTGCAGTCAGCCTTGTGGGAATCCAGCACTTTAACCACCATGCCACCTGCTGGTCCTGTGCGTGTTTTTTTTTTTTTTTTTTTTTTTAATGTTCAGAGGTTTAATTAATGCCACATTTCTTTACTTCACAGGTTATGAGTGCCAAGTGAGCCACCTTTGACCCAGGAAACACCATCAGCACTGTTAATGATGAATTCTGAGAATAAACCTGAGAATGACGAAGATGAAAATATAAACAAAGAAGCCAAAGGCTCGAGAAATATTTCTTCCCTTAATGAAGATTGTGAGCCTGTATCTGATGTGATAGCAAATTCCTCTGAGAATTCCATGAACAAAAGAGTGTTTTCAGACTCATCAAACACAGACAGTGTCGTTGCAGCAGAAGATAGAAATAAACATGCTTCCAAACGAGTGAAGTTAGATGAGGCCGAGGCCCTTAAACCTGGAGAGCCAGGTGTCCATGGGCCAGAGGCTTCTGAGAGCTCAGGCACAGGAGTGGATGTCTTGGGAAGCAGGACAGTGCGGGAGGCCCTTCTGAAGGACTGCTCAGATGGAGATGCACGTCCGTCTGATGCCTTCTCCCCTTGCGGCTTTAGCACTATTGATACTTTTTCTCTGAAAACTGATACTGAAAAAAAGTCTACTAGGGACATGGTTTCCTGTGATTTAGAAAGAGCATCTCCTGTCCCTGTGAAGGAAGCTAGTGTTGGTTGTACCGTTGGGTCTGTGGAGACAGTTCTCAAGTGCAGCATTTGTGGCTCTTTGTTTTCCTCTTGCTCTGATTTGGAAAAACATGCGGAATGTCATGTGCCACAGTCCAAGGAACATACCTGCTGCCACTGTGGCCATGAAGCGGACAGCAGCTCGGCTCTGCACGTGCACACGAGGCAGACACATGGGCTGCAGAAGGCCTTTGCTTGTGATCTCTGTGGCTTTCAGTGTGTGGAAGAAAACCTGCTACATGCACATTATCTTGGCAAAACACATCTCCGGCGTCAGAATCTGGCTGCTCGTGGCGGATTCATACACATCTTAACAAAACAACCTTTTCCTAAAAAGCCGTGTACAGTGGGAACAAGAAATGTTCAAGCAAAACCAAGAGTGTCTAAACCAATAGTAAAGAAAAGCGATTCAAAAGGATTACGAAATGTTGGGAGCAAATTTCAAGGTCTTAGAGGGAGCATTTCTAAACAACGTGGTGATAGCAGTGAGCTTCCTGTTGAAGTGATGTCATCCCAGAGTACTTCATCAGAAAACTCAGAGATTGTTGGGGAAAATGTTACTTCCCTGGGTCAAAAGCCCGAACACCAGAACGAAAAGCTCAGCACCTTAGTAATCTCAGAGGGGCTCTCAGATAAGATGGAAAAAAATACCCTACAGACAGCACACAGTATCAGTCCAACCTCAAGGCCAAGACCTGAGCGGAATATTCTAATGCTGGGTAATAGCCTTCGACGACGAAGCAGCACTTTCACCTTGAAGGGCCAGACAAAGAAACGGCTTAACCTTTTAGGAATGAACAAACGAGGCACAAATGAAACTCAGAGGATGTACATGAAACACTTGAGAGCACAAATGAAAACAAGCGACTCAGAGTCAATGTCAAAAAAAATGGAAATGAGCAGCAATGTCCAGAGCTTGTGTGTGACTACCTCAGAAACCCAGGAACCGATGCAGGACAAGAGAAACTCCCATCTTCTGGGTTCCACTCAGCTGGACTCCTTGGCAGTGAAGCCCGCGTCTGACCCTCAGCTGCTGTATACGTGTATAGATTGTGGTCAGATAGCTGCAAATAGTGTGGATCTGGAGACCCATGTGAGGAGGTGCCATGCACAAGAGACGAAGTTTTACTGCCAGACTTGCGGCATTTCCACTGTGTCAAGAAAGGACTTAGATGAACATTTGCACAGTAACCAGCATCAGCAAACTGCTTCTGTCCTCAGCTGTCAGTGTTGTTCATTTATTTCCTTGAATGAAACAAATCTTCGAGATCACATGAAGGAAAAGCACAGTATGGGTTTTCTTTGCACCCCTTGCAATCTGTTCTTCTTGTCTGAGAAAGACATGGAAGAACACAGAGCAACTGAAAGGCATGTTAGTTCATTGGTTCAGCCAGAGACTTCTCAATCACTTAACAGTGATTTGGTTTTACAAACTTTACCTTTAAGTACTTTAGAATCAGAAAACACAAAAGATTCTGTGAGTCAGTCAGGCAAAGCAGTTCAGGAAGAACCTAAGTCCAGAGTAAGCCATGGAAATGAAGTAAGGCATTCCAGTAAGCCTCAGTTTCAATGTAAGAAATGTTTTTATAAAACAAGATCTTCCACTGTTCTCACAAGACACATAAAGCTTCGGCATGGCCAAGACTATCACTTTCTTTGTAAAGCATGTAATCTTTATTCATTGAGCAAAGAAGGAATGGAGAAACACATTAAAAGAAGTAAGCATCTTGAAAATGCTAAGAAAAATAATATTGGCTTAAGCTTTGACGAATGTATTGAAAGGGTATGTATAGGTGCAAATGACAAAAAAGAAGAATTTAATGTTTCTGGAAGTGGAAAGATTGAAGGCCATGCAGGTGTACAGGAGCATTCCTATCTTGAGAAGAGCATACTAACTCATAAGGAACTGTCACAGTCTGGTAGTGTCGTCACCAAAGATGATGAATTAGCTTTGGCCACCACTCCAAAGAGAGGGAGACCTAAAGGCAATGTCTCACGGACATGTTCACACTGTGGGCTTTTGGCCTCTAGTATTACAAATTTGACCGTTCATATCAGACGAAAACACAGTCACCAATATAGTTACTTATGCAAGGTATGTAAATACTATACTGTAACTAAGGGAGATATGGAACGTCATTGTGCCACCAAAAAACATAAAGGACGGGTCGAAGTAGAAGCAAATGGAAAACAAAGTTCAGATATCGTTGTTGGCCCCGAAGGGGGTAATCTGGAAGCCTGTAGAAGGAACACCAGTTTAGCAGCAGTCATTTCAGATGAACCTACTAACAAGTTGACTGAGTCCGATCCCTCTGTTATAGAGAAGCCAGTGGTAGGTCATGGGAATCCAGCTGAAGTAGAAGTTGAAAATGTATTTCCTTCTATAGATGGGGAAGTTAATAGTCATCTTACTGCTAAAAAGGAGCAAGTGTCTGTAGAGCCAGATGACCTTCTCCAAGAGGGAGATGCATATTCCCAGGGAGATGTTACCAGTTCAGGTGATAATAAGTGTGTACACTGTGAGTTTAGTGCTCACTCTCCTGCTTCTCTAGAGCTGCATGTAAAACGGAGACATACAAAAGAGTTTGAGTTTTATTGCATGGCATGTGATTACTATGCGGTGACTCGTCGGGAGATGACTAGGCACGCAGCAACAGAGAAGCACAAAACGAAAAGACAGTCTTATCTCAACCCTTCCAGTGTAGAAGCAGGGTCCTCAGAAATGGCCAAAAACATCATTATACCCGAAGAGGAACAGCAAGCAAATTCTGAGGAATTTCAAATAATTGCAGACCAACCATCTGACAGTCTTCGATCTAGAAATGGTACTGGTAGTTCCGTTTTAGACGAGAATACTAATTTAGATATGTCAAAGGTATTTTGTGCTTCTGACTCTGTAGAAATTGAGACGGAAGAATCGAATTTTAGCGAAGACCATTCCTTTTGTGAGACTTTCCAGCAGTCACTTGGCAAGGAAAAAGTTATGAAACCAGAGGAGATGGTGCCCCTTACTATTTCCTCTAATTATGGCTCCCCAAATAAATTTCAAAATGGAAATTTAGGAAGCTCAGCTTCAAATTGTGAAATAGCAAAGAAAAACCATGAGATGTTGACTGATGTTGGTAGTCCCCATCTGCGTTGTGGGAGTGTTGGAGAAAGTACAGGAGGTGGTGGAGGTAAAGTGCTTCACAAACAGCTGTGTCCAGGAGTTCTGGAGGGAGAGCAGTCAGCTGAGAGCACCACACCTGTGGTGATGAGGATAGCAAGAGAACAGCTCAACCCAGATAGCGGTGGACAAAACCAAGTTCCGCATGCGCACGGTTCAGAGGATTTGAAAAGTGTGCAAGGAGATCCCATTCTAGAGAATAAGGAACTTTTGATGAATTCACAACATGAAACTAAAATGATTTTGGAAGAGGATGGCCCAGCTTCTGATAGCACAGTTGAAAGTAGCGATGTTTATGAAACTATAATCAGTATTGATGATAAAGGGCAGGCCATGTATAGTTTTGGCCGGTTTGATTCTTCCATCATTAGAATCAAGAACTCTGAAGATGGTGAATTGATGGACCAGTCTGAAGAGGGTCTGTTGGCAATGGGAGTGAGAATCAGTGAGTTGCCCTTGAAGGACTGTACTCAAGGCTTGAAAAAGAAGAAAGCTGAAGGCACTTCCTTTGGTGAATCTACACGTATTCGTTGTGATGACTGTGGCTTCTTAGCAGATGGACTGAGTGGACTGAATGTTCACATAGCCATGAAGCATCCTACAAAAGAGAAACACTTTCACTGTTTACTGTGTGGAAAATCATTCTATACAGAAAGCAACCTTCATCAGCATTTGGCAAGTGCTGGTCATATGAGAAATGAACAGGCCAGTGTGGAAGAGCTTCCAGAAGGGGGGGCCACCTTCAAATGTGTCAAGTGCACAGAGCCGTTTGATTCAGAACAGAATTTATTTCTACATATTAAAGGACAGCATGAGGAATTGCTGCGGGAGGTGAATAAGTATATAGTGGAAGACACTGAGCAAATCAACCGTGAGAGAGAGGAGAACCAGGGCAACGTTTGCAAGTATTGTGGGAAGATGTGTCGAAGTAGCAATTCCATGGCATTTCTGGCACACATTCGCACTCATACAGGTAGGTGCGCTCTGCAGGCAACTCATGCCCACCTGTGTAAATAATGGTAACATCTCGACATGCGTTCCCATCCAGAGATGGAGTGCAGCCTGCATTTGCTTGTTGGCCCTTCATCTGACCCACACTCCACTGCTCTGTGGTCCTCTGGGTGTTTGTAGTAAGTTCTTGTAGACACCTAACATTTCTAGAAGCAATTAAGCTTTAGTGATTCTGAAGGCAGGTTCTCTGACAGGTTTCTTTTTGTTTTGTCAAAAAACCTAGTCACCATGATGCTTTTGTTAAAATTCCTGGTTTGTTACGCTCCTTAGGCCATTAAGTTGTTTCTAAGTCCTGATTATTTCATTTTCCAAAGTATTCATTGAACAGAAGACATGTGAAATGGCTTTTGATGACTGGCATAATAAAATTTTATTTTAGTTTCAGGAATTTAAAAATATTCATCACCAGATATTTTCTATCTGAAAGTGTACCTGCTAGACAATAAGAATTCTGGCCTCAAAGATCAAAATTAACACTTTTCAAAGTTAGTATGTACTGGGATTTTGGTTTCATGGAGGTAACACCTGATATAGTCTGTGTGCTCTGTCACATTTAGTGTTCTACTTTAATGTTTAATTTTAGGTAGAAATCTAAAAAACATTTTATTTTTGTGGGAAATGCATAAGCTACTGTTCTAAATTTATGTAAAAATTCACTGCACTGTTTCTATAAACCTGCCATACATTCTTTATTTTAAATAGACAGCTTTTCTAAATCATTGTGCTCTGCTTAGACAAGTTCTGTCTCCATGGTTGAATTTATGAGTGGATTTGAATAATAAATTCACATTTCAATGAACATATTTTCATTAAAACTGTAAGGTTTATTTTACTGTACTTTTAAATAATGGCTTATTATTAAAGCTATACTTTAAATTCATGCAGTTTTTGAAACTTAGTGCATGGTTACAAGGAGGAAGACAAAAGCATATGAAGCATTATATCCAGTTTAGGGTGATTAAAGATAAATAGATTTTTCATTGGAGAGAGTAACAAGGCAACCTGTGTAAGATGAATCTTGGTAAATATAAGCATTGTGTCCTTGATCCCACGTCCTCCGTGCAGTAGAACCATCTTCCTACTTGGGGGCTAAGTGCAAACACTTGTTTGTATTATTAGTACATCTGTCGCTACCTTGTTGCTGCGCACTTTCTGAAACGATAGGGCTTTAGAAACCAGGCTTGTTCACATGCGCTGAAAATATGTACTTTCTTAATATGCCCTCTTAAGACAGATAAAACTGAATAAAACTAAGAGGAAGATGCTAATGGAACTCTTTTTAGAATTCTTTATGCAACTGTCTGGTCAAGACATGTTGCTTATAATTGATGTGTCCATTACTTGAATTCTCTTGTAATTATAGTCAATAAGTCTTGTAAATGTGTTAAAGCTCACTAAAAGCATACAAATTCAAGAACAGAGTAAGGCTAATAATTTAAAATAATCAATGTAGGCATTTCAGCACTTAATTTCCCTTGTGTGTTGATAGCTGATCATTCTTAATCCATTAAGATTTATTTAGTCGTTTACAATGCAAAATAGGTTTGCACTGGTCACTTGTGCCATTTGAAAATGTCCACCAGGTTAAGTGCAGAATGTAGTCCATTAGTCTTCCTTGACTATATGTATTAATTGCATTTAAAATCAAGTTAATGTGGATGTGAAAGTGAGGTAACTATCAATATGTGACAAAGTAACCCTACTTATATAAGTTACATCATTGATTGTAACATTTAGTAAAAGTTAGCATACTTTTTTCTTTAACATCTTGTGTTTGTCTTATCAGCAAGTACATTTTATTGTGCTTTGAAATGCCACAAAGGGCCGTGTTCCTGAGTACACAGTACCAGTGTACCATTCCAAGTTTGCAGGTCATTTTTGGTGGGAAGTTGGTCTCCAGGATTTAATCTAAGGGTAATTCACATTTCAATGAACATATTTTCATTAAAACTGTAAGGTTTATTTTACTGTACTTTTAAATAATGGCTTATTATTAAAGCTATACTTTAAATTCATGCAGTTTTTGAAACTTAGTGCATGGTTACAAGGAGGAAGACAAAAGCATATGAAGCATTATATCCAGTTTAGGGTGATTAAAGATAAATAGATTTTTCATTGGAGAGAGTAACAAGGCAACCTGTGTAAGATGAATCTTGGTAAATATAAGCATTGTGTCCTTGATCCCACGTCCTCCGTGCAGTAGAACCATCTTCCTACTTGGGGGCTAAGTGCAAACACTTGTTTGTATTATTAGTACATCTGTCGCTACCTTGTTGCTGCGCACTTTCTGAAACGATAGGGCTTTAGAAACCAGGCTTGTTCACATGCGCTGAAAATATGTACTTTCTTAATATGCCCTCTTAAGACAGATAAAACTGAATAAAACTAAGAGGAAGATGCTAATGGAACTCTTTTTAGAATTCTTTATGCAACTGTCTGGTCAAGACATGTTGCTTATAATTGATGTGTCCATTACTTGAATTCTCTTGTAATTATAGTCAATAAGTCTTGTAAATGTGTTAAAGCTCACTAAAAGCATACAAATTCAAGAACAGAGTAAGGCTAATAATTTAAAATAATCAATGTAGGCATTTCAGCACTTAATTTCCCTTGTGTGTTGATAGCTGATCATTCTTAATCCATTAAGATTTATTTAGTCGTTTACAATGCAAAATAGGTTTGCACTGGTCACTTGTGCCATTTGAAAATGTCCACCAGGTTAAGTGCAGAATGTAGTCCATTAGTCTTCCTTGACTATATGTATTAATTGCATTTAAAATCAAGTTAATGTGGATGTGAAAGTGAGGTAACTATCAATATGTGACAAAGTAACCCTACTTATATAAGTTACATCATTGATTGTAACATTTAGTAAAAGTTAGCATACTTTTTTCTTTAACATCTTGTGTTTGTCTTATCAGCAAGTACATTTTATTGTGCTTTGAAATGCCACAAAGGGCCGTGTTCCTGAGTACACAGTACCAGTGTACCATTCCAAGTTTGCAGGTCATTTTTGGTGGGAAGTTGGTCTCCAGGATTTAATCTAAGGGTTTTTTTTTTTCTTGGAATGTGTTAAAAACAAATTGCTTCTCTGATACTTTGCTTAGTCCATGAAATAGTCATCCAGGGACTGTTATTAATGGTTAACTGGAAAAGGGCTTACTCTTCCAATCCCTGTTTTCATATTTTGTGATTTACTATATATTTTATGTAACCTTTTCTTCTCATCCCTGGTACGATAAAAGTGCTGTGAGAAATAAATGAGTTTGGGTTATTGAGAAGGGGAGAAAAGCACCCTCATTTTCCTGTGCGTTTGCTGGGGGTGGGGTGAAGTAGGAGCAGAGGCGCAGTCGTCTTCACACTGCATTAGTAGGACTGACCTGCTCATTTTCTCTCTGCATTATCCGGTTAAAGCTCTTATTTCCTATAACGTGGACGAGACCATTAAACTACAGGACTGTCTGAAGCCATTCAGTTTATGACTCAGGTCACTTCTGCCATTTGCAAACACTCAACTTGCCAGGAGATAGAAGTGTGTGACTGTTCTGAAAAACTCCGAAGTTAGGGCTAGAGTGTTTGAAACTCAGTCTCGACAGTTGACATGGATGACAGATCACTAGGAGAGTCAGTTTGCAGACTTTTAGGCTGGTGAGAAGGGACTGTCCTGCGTTCACTGCTTCATCTCTGCACCTCCTGAGTGGGTGACTGTCAGTGTTTGTGGGATGAATGAGTAACGAGTGGATGGACGAATGCAGGAACACAGTGAGAACGCTCAGATGTTGAGGGAAGACTGTGGAATCAAGGCTTCAGTTGAGAAGCGGTAGGTGATAGGTGATGCGTGTCTTTCTTCATGCCTTCCAGGCCTAAGGGGCTCATTAGACTTTTCGTTTCAGTGTTAGTGTTGCATCCAGGCATGCATAGCGATGAGTTACGACTGGTAGTTGAGGAATGCCCATAGGTCTGAGTGAGGAGCTAGTTTTCGAAGGCTTTGGGATTCTTTTGATAAAATAGTAAGGTACTAGAAAGCTAGAGAGCCCCTTTAGTTTTTCTCTTTCAAAAAACTTCGCAGACCAAATTAAAACACAGGATGCCAATGAAGATACTGTTCCTGTATTCTGGAGCTATTTACAATGATATTGGCAGTTTGTAAGAATCAAAATGCACCTGAGTAAAATACAAATTTACGAATATGCGACTTTACCAATTTTGCCTTATAAGCACTACCTATATTCATTTTAGATTGTGTACAGCAGGCTTAAAAATGTAAACTTTATTGGTTATGAAAAAATTTAAAAAGTAAAAAGGGATAGTTTTTTTTATACAGACGAGTATTCTACTAGTCTTTGAGTTTTTATGGCACAAAAAGGAAATGTTAACACAGTCTACTGTGAATATATGCCGTGAAAAATGACCTAGGCCTCAGTGATTCGGGGCAAGGCCGTCAACAAAATAAACTCATTTATGTGTGTCAACACACAGTGGTAGCTACCACCGAGACCTGCAAAGCTGAAGCGTTCCACAAAGGAGCCTGGCACAGTGCATTGAAAACACCGCGGACCTCTCGTCCAGCCTGGGCTGGCATCTGTGTCCCAAGAGGAGGACTAGGCACCATGCAGGTGGTGAGAGCAGAGGGGAGACTCACCCCAGGAGAGAGTTTACACTTGTTACCAAAATTGAGATAGAAATACTGGGAGAACTTTGTCTCCTTTGTTTGGAGTCCTGATGTTACTGTTCATCATTTTGTAATTACCCTGTTATCTTTAAAGCATTTTAATTTAAGGCACAGGTTATTCTCCTATGCTTTTCTTTTCACAAGTCCCTTTATGGAGTTCTGTGACTCCATGAAATGTTTCAAAGTAGTGATAGGCTTAGTTTCATCAGAATCATTTAAATAAACTGTAGTTTCTAATGTGATTGATAGAACCTGATTGCTGTAAGCTGCAGTCTCAACCTGCTTTTGACATTTAAACATATAAACCTGACTAGATAGAACCATTCAGGTGCTAAATATATTTTACATCTACTTCTAACAGTAGAAATGGGAGTATTAAGAGATCTGGCTTCATTGTCATTGAACTGTGAAATATTCAACCTTGTCTGCCCGTGCTTAGTACTGTTGACTTTTTTATTTCTGTTGGAAGATTAAAATTAAATGCTTCACTTTTTTTTGTCAGCTTTTGGGAATTAAATTGAAATTTAAGACTCTAAAATTTTTTACTGAGTGCTTCAATTTCAACCAAGTATTCTTGGAAGGTTTTTTTTTTTCCCCCCAAGGGCACTGCACAAAGGTTCATTGATCAAATATGATTCATTGCCTTTTTTTTATTTGAGCTTTTTTTGTATATTTATTAAAGTTCACATATTTCATATTTTATCTGACTATATTAGAAGTGCTATTTCACCAAATAGGTACTAAACATGATATGAAAAATCTGGAAACATATTGTACTGATTTTAAACGGTGGTTCTTATGATTTTGATATATTTATTTGAAGATGTAGTGGCTAGACTGTTGGAAAATGATGTGTAGACACATTTTGTACTTTAAACCAATGTTTCTCACTCATGTGGTAATGGCTAGCAATTAGTGACTACATTCTGGTTACAGTCTCGTCTAATATGACAGCAAGTTTGGTGACTTCGGGATTCTTTTATTTTTTTTCAGTTTTGATTACAGATTCATCTTATTTCCTTAGGAATGATTAAAACTAATTTTTGTTGCTATTATGTTTTCATGGTGAGATATTTGTTCTTGAAGTCACAAATCATCAAAATGTCACTACTTTGGCTTGCTGAATCATCATGGACTTTCTGACTATAAAATCATAAAAGCATGTTTTATTCACTATTTTCATACACTGCATGCTGTTAAAATCATAATACAGTGAGTGGCTTGGGATAAATGTAAAAAAGTTGGAAGTACTATTGTTAATGTGAATAAATTCAAATCTGGAAAAATGAGAAGAATGGGAGCTATCTAGTGAGAAAAGTATTTGGTGGTAAATATCTTTTTAAAATTTTCAATTACTCTGTATACATTTGTGTTTTGAAAATGTTCTGTTTTAAATATTGCGTGACTTTAAGAGCTTTTTTTTGTGAATTGTAGGAAAAATATTCAAAATTATTTAGCTCATCTCAGCTACTGGTACTGCTCAACAGTGTCACTTTTGACTTTCAATCTCAGAATGTTATTGAAAGTTGGAAAGGCTCACTGACACGTTCGAGTCTTCTGGGTTGAATAATTATAGAATCAAGTCTATTCATGTTATAAATGAATGCAAGTATTCCATTTTTGGGAGAGGAATTCTTAATTAGATTAAAGGTATGATTTAAGATTTAGCCCTCTTTTAAAAATTATCCATAATATATTATTCAAATTCAAATCATATTTTATGTTAAATTTACTCAGGATCAAAACCATTCAAGTGCAAGATATGCCATTTTGCAACAGCTCAGCTTGGAGATGCCAGAAACCATGTGAAAAGGCACCTTGGGATGAGGGAATACAAGTGTCATGTCTGTGGGTGAGTAAATTGAAGCCATCTCTGCCTCTGAACCAGGAAGCGTGTGCAGGATATCCATTGTTTAAGAATTCAAAACTGATATGAGTAAGAGTGGCTAAAATTATGCATGCGTATCCTCCTTTCCATTGTTATGGTAAATTCCTTAAATACAGTTATGACATTCTTCTCCCACTTCTAATCCTGTACTGAAGATGAGCAATTTTATGGGCTACAAGGTCAATTTGAACCTGTAATCTGTAAATTGACTAAATTATAGGATGTTCATTCACATTGCCAGGGAGAACTATAAATTCCATTTAAAGACATAAAAAATACATAATATAACTTGAGGAGTGTGTGTATATGTTTTTTTTCTTCTTGCTATACTGCTTAAATTTTAATCACATTAATGGCTCTTTGGATCCATTGGACATATTTCATAAGGAAAAAGACAAGAATTTAATTTCAGAAGGCTGATTACTAATTATTATAGGGAAGAGGTGTGAAAAAACACTGAAACAGTGTATAATGTGTTTTTGTGCAACTTTGTTTTAAAACTTGTTTCATTTTTTTAGTTAATGGTTCTCTGAGCAGTCATTCTCAATGTTTAATTGTCATTCAAATGTGTTATATTTAATAGAAAGCACTGAGGTGCTTCAATGCAAACTAATTAATTTAGCAGAAATGTTTAAAAGGTTTTAAAATTATATGGCATGTATGGTATATCGTAAGACATTCAAAGGTGGATTTTAATACCCTATTTCTGATTAAAAATATATTTTAATATTATATTGAGGAAATTAACTAAGAAGTGCATCCTATAAAAACACTTGGTGTGAAACCTGAGAAACCTGCTGTTCTTGTGGCTGATTCACAAACGGGCTCCAGTACGTTATGCCATGTCTACCTGTCCTGTTCGGGTTATTTTTTTAGTAGAAGATTCTTTAGGTTGATACTACCACGTAAATATCTTTTAGGTCAGAAACGGGTTCTGCTTTTTGTAGGACAGCACATTTCTTCCTAGGATGCAGTTGCATTTTTTGACCCTTACTATATAGTTTTGCAGATAACTTTGCAAGCAGTTATATTAACCATAGTCTGTGATTTATTCATTGGCAGAATTGATGGTTCAGTGACTTGCAGCTAAAGTAAATGAAGATGAACCTTTGCCCTGAAGCTCCCTGAAGATCAGTGGGAGAATGAGTTTTGTTACTACTGATTTTAGCTGCAAGGGTCAAGTGCCAAATGGTTCATTTTAATTGCTCCAGGTCCTGGAATTTTAAAAGATACCTCATGTGTTGTTTTTAACCATACGAGTTATAGGAAGCAGAAGGCTCTGATTCCAGTGAAGATTTGCTTTTAGGTAGTAGTAAGCAATTTCTTCTTCATCTCTGGGAAATAAGTGAACAATTTCTGTATATTCTTAATCTAATCCTATTCTTTTTTTAAAAATTAGAGTAACTAAGAACCTGGAAAGACAGGTAGAATCTTTTCAGAGAACAGTTTCTGACATATATAGTATCAAAAACAATACATAATTAATTGCCTTTAATTGTATGATTTGAACAGTGTATGTACACTTTGCTTAGCTAATTGCTAACCACATACTACTGAAATCTTGCATTAGTTTATTTGATTCTCAAAATACAAGGAATACAGAGAGATACATATTCTCTCTCCCACTCTCGAGAGCTTTATATGGCTGTCTTAGCCATGTGCATGTGTGTATGTAGAACAAGTGCGCTGGATTACGAAATTGTGTCTTTTACAATTGTGTAGCCATTCAGTTTCATCTGATGATGAAATAATAGTTCTCTTTATTTTCTTAAAGTTGATTTGAAAGTTGGATAGCAATAATTTTCACAGAGTATCTATTTTCACAGTGAAACTGAAAGTTCTAAAGAATTCAGTGAACTGAAGAAATGTAGTTGAAACAGAACAATCATGAATTAGATATTTTAATGTTAAAGAAAAATTTATCATAGTTTGTCCTGTATTTCACATGTTTTAAAGGATATAGCAGTACTAAAAATTGAAGTGGAAACAAAAAAGGCAAGAAGTGGCTCTCAGATTAGTGGCAGTAGAGAGCGTTGGTACATTAACATCACTGACAATGTCAATTCATTATCATTGATGGCTAAATAATCTTGGAAATGCTCAGTGGACCTATTAGTTCCTGAACATAAGCAGTTCATGCTGCATTTCTTCATTAGCTTTAATTGCTATAAATTTTACCTTTTAGAAAATCATGCTTTAAAAGGTGAAGTGATCTTTCAGGAACATTAACTCTATAATTTTGTAACAAACAGAGGGTCCTGCACTATGTTTTCTTTTTTATTTTATTTTATTTTGAGTAGTTATATTTTAGTCTCTTTTAGAATTTTATTAATGACCACTTCACTATTTGTGCTGTAAGAAGTTATTGCTCAAGTAGTCCTAATCGACTATTAATATATAAAAATATTGGGCAGGCACACTTTAAATGTGAAATTATTACTTGTAATTCTGACACGTCTTTACTTAGTAACTTCTTGGTTTTCATAAAGAAAAAGCTAGTATTTCATGATGAAATTGAGGGAAAGAACAAATAGTAGATCTTGTTGAGTTGAGCCCAGTAGCTCAGGTTATTTATAATTCCGCTCTTTCATGTCTTTGTATATCTTTGTGTAGGACATTGTCAATGCTCACCAACTATGCATCTTGGGTTTTTCACTAAGACATAGTTTTAGGGTCATGCATCAGCAACTCCCTGACCAAAAAACACTTTTCATGTAAGCTGTCTTACCTATGTTGGCTTTCTCTGAGTCTTTAGGATCAATCCTAAGAGACTGCACGCCTCCCACACTTCATTGGCAAATCTTCGCTACAGTGTGTTGTGGATTTAAATTAATTACAAGAAGTTGAATGTATTAGATGTTTAATTCCTATTAGGTAGGAATTAAAGTGAGGATAGTTAAGATTCAGAATTCAGGATTAAAGTTTTCTTCACCCAAGGTATACTTGCTTATGGCATGGTAACATTTCAGAAATGGATCGCTCTGTTTTTCTTGTTTTACGTATATGTTACAGACTAGAGCCATTTATTTTACTTTCACTTTTAGGAAGAACAGGGTTTTTTTTTGTGTGTGTGTTTTGAATCTGAATTTTTAATGTTTTTCTTGCATCCAAATGTGATCAAGAGAGGAATTTTATGGACTATAATGATATTTGTATTTAGGTACTTAATGGATAGTTAACATGGAAATCTGCCATAGGTCTGACAGACATAGGGTTTAGTGGGAGGGAAAGTAAAAAATAATAGAAAACATTCCTATGTAGAAGTTAATAATTTTATTTCATAATATTATGTTTAAAAATAGGCTAAGTGAATACTTCTACTAAACCTGTCATGTCTTTATTTTTTTCAGTAGTAATGAATTTAAAAATCTCTGTAGTCTAAAAAAAGTCATTTTAGAAATCATGTTTTGTTAAATTCTTTTAAACTTGTCTCAGTTCTCTCTGTGTATGTATAAAATAGTATATGTAATGCTCTCTGCGCAGGGCTTTGTGGCTTAGTAAGTGCCTGGGTGAGCAGTCATCTCTTTGGTGTTCTGTAGCTTGTGAGAGTGTTTATTATCCCCATTTTACAGAGGGAGAGCTTGAGATTAGAGATGTTCTTAGTGATGCATTTGAATTTTGCAATTATTGATGGGCCACTGTTTTTCTTCCTTTTAATTATTTCTTTTCTTCATTTTTTTGGTTTGCTTTTTGTCACATCTGTTTATTGTATTATCAAGTTTAATGTGTACTTGTTTTGGGGCTGGCAGGTGGCATGGTGGTTGAGGTGCTGGACGCCCATGTGGCCAGTTGCAGTTCAAGTACTGGACTGGCAGCTTGAAACTCAGGCTGGGCATGTGTGCGTGCAAGCCCAGGGTCCTGGGTGTGTGTGTGTGTGTGGTTGTTGTGTGGCCATCTTCCCTGGGGGTGATTTCTCACTTTCTGTCTCTCTGGTGAGCAAAAATCTCTCTCTCTCTCTCAAAAAAAAAAAAAAAAAGTACGCACTTGTTTTTCTCTCTAGGCAGTTTGAACTAGCCTGTAACAGATGTAACTTACCTGCTTTCTTCCACTAGCCACTTCAGATTTACTCTCTCTTAAAAAATCGCTTGCACAGCGTTTTATTTTCACGTTCTGGCATTCATGCTCTCTCTGTCTGTGTCTCACTCTTCCCACTTAAAGTTGTGTTCATAATTTTATTTTCCCCCGTTCTCCTTCACATGTTGATGATTGACTTGAGTGATTACCACTGTTACACACACTGAGCACATTCCTATAATAGAAATAGGTGCTTTAAAATTTCAAGATTGTATCATCTTTTCATTAGGATGAGGGGTGTAACATTGATCAACTTGAGTGTTTTTTTCTTTGTTTTCAGTATTAGTTATTTGAAAAGAGTTACCAAAGCCCTGTAATAGGTGTGCAGTCTCAGTTAACACTCAGGAAATGATACCCAAGTTGCGTATGCTGCTCATCAGAAGTGACCCAGTGTGCGTAGTGTAGGGATTGTGTACTCACTGAAGGCTGTCCTGTGCCCAGTCTTGAGCCTTGTGTGTGGAGTTAAACAATCAAGTGGAATTCATTAGGTAATGAGAATAAGGGCATTTTCTAGTCTGTTACCTCTGGGTTTATGAAAATGTTCCAGACATTTAAAAATTGTATATTAATGTGCTTATGAGCTGTTTATTTCTAGTTGGATTAAAAACCTTAAATAGAAAGTTACTAATGCAGTAAAACTGTGTGTGTGTGTGTGTGTGTGTGTGTGTGGCATTACCTAGTTTTTGTGCATTAGAAGGGATCTCTATGTAGATGATTATAATGTCACTTTCTGACCTTTGCAGCTTGAATAATTGTAAATCATTGCTTCATAACGTGTCAGAGAATGTCTGTACTAGGCAATTAAATGGCAGAATATAATAGACCAAATTATTGCCTGTCATGTTTTCAACAACACAGTTAGTATTTGAGTTACACTTAATCATTACGTG